ACCTGCAAGCACCAGGCATGGCTATGGCTCCTGTGAAGTGTCATGGCTTCATACACCTTTTTCAGCAAAAGCCCATGCTGTCTTCAAAGATCTGCAACATCTAAACCTGTTTTTTTGCAAACCCTTACCCTTCCCACCAGAGGCTGAGAGGTTTTCAGCTGGTTTTGGGCTGGGGAACCAAGCCACCATCCCTGCTCATCCAGCCTTGGAGACAAGCTTCCTCCTGGGTACCAGAGGAGGTGGGAGGAAGAAACAACACAGGCCTGCAGGGAGCAGGTATCACTGCCCACGCTTCTGCTGGCGCTTGGACTTTCCAGATAGCATATAAAGAAATTTATTTATTTTTTTAAAACCGCTTCCAAGTTTAATGCCATTCTTTGGCTTATTCTGGCAGACACTTGCAAGCTCAGCAAGAGTGTGTTATACCTGAAGCACAGCTTGCCTACTTGGGAAAGATACAGCTGAAAGTTTTACTGAACTATTAAGAGAAAGCAATCTACAGGAGCTAATGAATTGGCATTCATTTTCCCCAATCTAGCAAAATGCAGTCTAGAATTCAGTTGATGCTTTACTGACAATAAATCAAACTTTTCCCCACCTGATCCATAACAATGAGTCAGGCATATGATACCTCACAGTGGATTAGTGGTTTAAAAATAAATACAAAAGGGTCTTAGATACCTCATTACTCCCTATCACATATATTCCACAGTATTTTCTCTCATAAAATAGCAGACACATTAACAAGTTACTCACTGAAATCACGATCTTGAGCATTTAGAGCATCCCCTGCCCTGCTCGTGTCTTGGACTGCTTACGCAGAACCATATTAATTCACAGGACCAGAAAGCGATTGCTTTGCCGCACAAACCTGTCAACAAATACTACTCATGGAGAACCTTGAGGTCAGTGGGACTGCAGAAAGTAATCCCCAATTCAGTTTTAGCATTAACCTATCTAACCAATATGATTACAGCTGGCTACATCACTGCCTGAAGGAGATTTCCACGGAGCGCTAGGTGCTACGTCACTACCCAAAGGAGGAACCACCCCGGGAAAAAGGCAGGATGCTCCAGTTCTGAGTGGAGGGCACACCAGAGTTGTGACTAAGGGAGAAATCAGCCCCGGCATTTCCCTACTAATCTATAATCTAGATTATCCTATGAGTCAGAAGTACCAAACAGACATAAATAAACTGGCCAGCAGGTAGCAGTCTTTGTCTTTAACTTCTGGTTTTAAAATCAGACCTATCTTTTTTTTTTTTTTTCTTTTACTACCAGCTTTTAAGACATTTGGGAGCAAGGTTATGGCTGCTTTGACTATGTCAGCCAGAAAAGGAAGGTCAAAGAAAGTGTATCCCCAGTGATGAGCAAGACTGGCAAACTGGTAACAACAGAGGAGGAGAAGGCTGAGGTACTCAACAACTTCTTTGCCTCAGTCTTCACTGGCAACCTCTCTTCCCACACCTCTCGAGCAGATGGACTACAGGATGGGGACTGGGGGAGCAAAGTCCCTCACACTGTAAGAGAAGATCAGGCTTGTGACCACCTGAGGAACCTGAACATACATAAGTCTATGGGACCCGACAAGCTGCATCCCAGAGTCCTGAGGGAAGTGGCAGATGTAGTTACCAAGCCAAGTGTTTTCCTCTTCTACTGCTCATTATGTACTAAAAAAACATTTACCACGATTGTCATGATGTACAGCACTCGTAAGGAACAACCATCCTAACAGCAGCAGCTTTGTCTAGAAGCAAGTCCATGATGGTAACGGTCCTCAAGACAGATTTTCAGTCCAGCAAAAAGTAAGATGCCCATGTTCCTGCTTTGCCTGCTGATGAGCAGCCAAAGCTCAATTTCCATCTCATTCCACTTTCCAAGAACACCTGTATGTATCACTAAGGCAATTTTCTTCCCTTATAGGCTGCTCTGTGTCACTGACTGGCACCATTTGCAGGCACTTAAAGACATAACAGGCTTCACCGGGCCACTAAAGCCACTCACCTAGCCAAGATAGTAATAGATACAGCAGAAAGTTAGAGGCTAAGACTGACAAATTATTTCCCATTAGTCACCTTCGCTTCTCTTCAAGGTAGGTGCTTTCTGAGCACTCTTCCACCCATCTTCTGTGCATACTTTCAAATGCACCAAGTACATATATTGCACAGAAGAAGTAAAAGAGAATCAAATGTGTTGAGATTAAACATGGGATGTTTTCTATTTTTAAGCTGGCTGACAAAAAAAAAAAAATACTTACATGGGAAGACTCACACTCAGCCAGGTGCTACTGCTTTTCAGATAACCAGTTCACAGAGCTTTAGACAGATAAGATGGTAACACACAATTTCAGCATCTACGAACATTATCTTCTGTTTATTGCTCAAACAACTTCTTCACTGAAGATGGAACCATGTCATTTACGTGAAAGCTACAGCCATCTTCAGGATTTGATGAAAACCTAAGTATCAATTCACCAACATGCTTTTAACCCTAATGTCAGGATTATTTTTTCTTCCCTTCTGCACACACTTCATATTGTTGTTTTCTAAGCATAAGTGTACATAGTATTTATTTAGCAGCTGTCACAGTTTCACAGTCTGTACATAAACCCCACACTCAAAAAGTTAACATGTGGAGGCTGAGGTTCTTCAGTAATGCCCACAGAGGGAAGAAGAGTTTTAATTTGACAAAAATCTGTTTGATTCTTTAAGATATACTGTGGGAGACCAAGAAACTCAATTTCCCACATCTCACCCAAAACACAAATCTCCTCCAAAGCAGAAGACAGGCAAAATCCTCCTGCTACCGCACAAAACCCAACCTCTTAGCAAATGCTCAGGACACAGCTTTCCAGACCAGAAAACACAGCATGTGCACCTGTATGTATCACTAAGGCAATTTTCTTCCCTTATAGGCTGCTCTGTGTCACTGACTGGCACCATTTGCAGGCACTTAAAGACATAACAGGCTTCACCGGGCCACTAAAGCCACTCACCTAGCCAAGATAGTAATAGATACAGCAGAAAGTTAGAGGCTAAGACTGACAAATTATTTCCCATTAGTCACCTTCGCTTCTCTTCAAGGTAGGTGCTTTCTGAGCACTCTTCCACCCATCTTCTGTGCATACTTTCAAATGCACCAAGTACATATATTGCACAGAAGAAGTAAAAGAGAATCAAATGTGTTGAGATTAAACATGGGATGTTTTCTATTTTTAAGCTGGCTGACAAAAAAAAAAAAAATTACTTACATGGGAAGACTCACACTCAGCCAGGTGCTACTGCTTTTCAGATAACCAGTTCACAGAGCTTTAGACAGATAAGATGGTAACACACAATTTCAGCATCTACGAACATTATCTTCTGTTTATTGCTCAAACAACTTCTTCACTGAAGATTGAACCATGTCATTTACATGAAAGCTACAGCCATCTTCAGGATTTGATGAAAACCTAAGTATCAATTCACCAACATGCTTTTAACCCTAATGTCAGGATTATTTTTTCTTCCCTTCTGCACACACTTCATATTGTTGTTTTCTAAGCATAAGTGTACATAGTATTTATTTAGCAGCTGTCACAGTTTCACAGTCTGTACATAAACCCCACACTCAAAAAGTTAACATGTGGAGGCTGAGGTTCTTCAGTAATGCCCACAGAGGGAAGAAGAGTTTTAATTTGACAAAAATCTGTTTGATTCTTTAAGATATACTGTGGGAGACCAAGAAACTCAATTTCCCACATCTCACCCAAAACACAAATCTCCTCCAAAGCAGAAGACAGGCAAAATCCTCCTGCTACCGCACAAAACCCAACCTCTTAGCAAATGCTCAGGACACAGCTTTCCAGACCAGAAAACACAGCATGTGCTCTCCTGCCTGTTGCCTGCCAAACCCCCACAGGTACCACAGCTGATGTGTTTCCCTGCAATCCGCAAGGAATTTGAAGCCAGCAGAGGCAAGTTCCACCCTGGCCAGCAGCCTCAGAGCTCAGCCAGGCACATGGGGCTGCCTGGACCCCTTTATTGGTAAGTTTTTCCTTGTCAAAGCATCTTCCTTTTGACGGATAATGAGCAGTTCTTAAAACGTTTCAGTTGAAGGTAATCTTTTACTAGTAAATACTCAAGAAAGTCACCTCATCTGCTCTTCAAGGGCTCACACCAAAAAGATCTACCATGCTGTAATAGCACTTCAGGCAACATGGAAAGGATCAGGCTTATTTCTGGTTTGGAGCGTGGAGATGGAATAGCCAGCCTCAGGAGGCGCTTTCTAGCCCTAGCAATCCTGGGTTCGAAGCTCCTAAGCAGCATACCATGACAGGATAGAGAGTAATGGTTTTAAACTAAAACAGGGTAGGTTTAGACCAGATATAAGGAAGAAATTCTTTACAATGAGGGTGGTGAAAAACTGGAAGGGGCTGCCCAGGGAGGTAGTGGAGGCCCCAACCCTGGAAACATTCAAAGCCAGGTGGGCCAGGGCTCTGAGCAACCTGATGTGGTTAAAGGTGTCCCTGCTCCTGCAGGGGGGTTGGACTGGGTGACCTCTAGGGGTCCCTTCCAACCAAAAACATTCTATGATTCTATACCATGACCAACACTTCTAAATCTGAATGATCACCGGTATTTGGCATCACCACACCACTGCCAGTCAGCCGGGTTCAAGCTGGCATGGACACGTTGCAGGCTCTGCTGGAGAGATGAGCATGCCTCCTGCACGGCTGCACTGGTACCTTTCTGCCCCACTCCTGTATTCATTGTATCTCCATTGTCCTTCCACGCATTGCCGTAACGCGTGGATTGAGAACACCACTTTTTTTGACTGTGGCAGCACCCTAATCAGACAGCAACCTCCCTTTTGTGCCATACCTCTCAACATAATGAGAAAGACAATACCCAACAACATAACTGTTTGATGGGAAATACAAGCATCAGGTGAGTAGAGACCAGAGAGTTTATTTCCCTTTGCTGTATTGGTTTCTCCAATTACGACACACATATCACTTACTTTCTGGCTGTTTTTCATTAGGTGTTATTGATCTCACGAAATCCTGCGGTGTCATAAAAACCTCTGATTCACCATGCTCGTTTATTACTTTCAAAGTGGCGAAGTATCTGAAGATTTTGTCCGGCGTGGAGTAGGCTCTGATCCTGTTCTCGTATTCCATCACCTGGAAATGAAATTTAGCCAGCATTAGGCATGCATGGTTCCTCCCCCCAACACCTACATTAGCACCTTAGTCCTCTGAAGGTTTTGCCACATGACAACAAAGTTGTGTGCAGCCACACAACACTTGAAAGAAAAAATGCTGAAAGGGTCAAAATTCCTCCTATCCTCAGCCTTTGAACTACCAGGAATATTGGAAGTATCAACTCCTCATGTCCCAGAATTAAGAACAAACACTAGAAATCTTTACTATTGATAAGTTTTGACTCTTCATCATGGCAGAGAAAAAAACAAAAATTAGCAAAATCCCTGAAGGCACTTTTAAACATGAACATAAAAAAGCACTAGTATCACATCGGTAAATCTAAAGCAGCTCAACATTTTAACCACAGCGTTGAAGGGTCTGATTTATGATTAATAAATGAATTAAAAGAAAAGTCTTGGAGAGCTGGGAGAGACCTTTACTTTCAAAGGAGTCTTGGAAAAAACTACTTGGAGCTGCAGCTGGTTGCTCAGTCACTCAACCTCATTTTTTCCTCTTTTCTATCACATTGGCAATACTCTGCAGAAACATTCTTTACTCAATCTTCTTCTCCCCACCAATCTGCCACTTGCTAACTCTGCCAGCAGTGATTATTTTGTACCTAGAACTGTTTTCCCCAACACACAGCTAGAATTAATCAAAGAGGACAGAAAGCTTTCATAAACAAAAATCACAACATAGGGCCACAAGGGAGGAAAAAGGCACAAAGACCAACACTTCATCATGTGTTACAGCAGAAAACTTTCCTTCTTAGTTCAGCTTTTTATTCCTGCATTATACACGATGTTTAACAGCCCATAATGTACTCAAAACCTTCAGTACTTCTGGCCAAGAGCCACAGGAGGGAAAAAAACTGACAACCGACGATCTGCTGGAAGAGAACAGGCAAGATCAAGGATACTGCCAAGGCATCTGTAGATCATTTATGGCTTTGGTCCTGTTTCAGCCTTGTCCTTTAACTCGAACAACTTCTCCACCCTGATGTTTATCAGAAAGAAAACACCCTCTCTGATTTTTCGTATTTCTAGGATAAAACAAGCCAAAGGCTTTTAATCCCCCAACCCAGGCTTGGGTGAAGTAGCTAGGGAAAGCAGAGCCTCTCTCCTCTACACTTGTTCCAGCTCAGCTTTCCCACAAAGGCAACCAGGGGACAAGCAACACGTGGCAGAAGGTCCTACTGATATGGCTTTGACATTATCTAAAGCATTCTCCCTATTCTTCTTCACATCACCATAGCTGTTTTATAATCAACCCCACCAGGAACACAGAAATGTCCTTGTGTCAACCAATACAACCAGCTCCCTCTTTCCTGTAGCCACCTGCACTACTCCCTTTTGTTATTAGCCTTTGCACCGAGAATCAAACTTCATCCCATTTTTATTGCTTCAGTCCACAGGGTCCTCCAAAGATAAGGGCACTGGATCAGAGCGATTGTTCTGCTGCAAAGTTACAAGTCTCCATCTGTCAGCCGAACCACAGCACAGGACATCACATGCTTCCCCAGCTCAAGCTAGCTGCAAAGCTGCACGCGTCTTTGCCTACAGCTCCCACCTGGCAGGCGGTAGCCGGTTATGCCAAAGCAATCTTTTGGCTTGTGATTGCAAGCCCGTATCTCACTCCTTCCTGTAGCATGACCTGACCTCATTACAATAAACACCCCGCCCAACTTGATAAGCCAAAGCCCATAGTGAAGTACTTTTACCTTTGAGCAAGATAACTAAAACCAGCTACAGGGTCAAGCCCAGGACTGGAGCCCAGAGCAGACGCCGCAGACCAACGGCTCCCTCCATCCGTGACACCCTTTCAACACAGCCTTCTTTCTAGTGAAAACACTCATCTGCCTGGGACTTTACATTACTCCTGATTTTCCAAGCCAGTGACTTTGGGCACAGCAATTTTTCCACGTCTCCATTCAGATCCATGCCACACCTTCAAGTCCACCAAGGATCATCACTTGCAACAAAAGCAAAGCGTCCATTTACTATGTGGCCCTTTCCTAGGTCATTTGCCATCCCATCTTCTATCCATTGCACGCTGCAAAATGAAAAGCTCCTCACGAGGATACAATTTTGAACACGCAACTCTAGAGCAGGGAGGGTCAGTCTGTTGCTCAAAAGCCATGTACGGCTCCTAAAGCCATGTGGCATGGCTCACAAAAGCCTAACAACGACACAGGCTAAAACCAGGTCTCGTGTCTCAGCGTTGCAGCACAACCCCACACAGATCTGCAAACCCAGAGGTTTGTCCCCGTGCACTCTGTGGTTTCACGAGAAATATGGAAGTGGTTTGGGGCTTCCCCTCCTCCAACAAAAGCAGCTGAATGCCCTTGCAAAGATAAGGCCTAAGGGTGCAGCAAGCGGCGAGCTCATAGCCTCATGTTGCATTAGGTCTCAGAGCAGTATCAGATAGCAAAATGGGAAGTTAAGGATTTTTAATGATCATCTCCTGACACTGTCTGCCATGTCTGGAGAAGAGAGCTAAGCTGACCTACCATCTCCATGAAAGCCCAAAGCAGCCCCCTCTTAAGCCCACTGCAGCATAAGGAATAGGTGTTATCTCTTAAGCTATTTGAGTTTCAGATCCGGAAGGGAACGTGATTATGTACAGCTACTCACAGTTTCGTGGGAAGCTACCACTAGTTTTAATTACTTGCAACCCTTTGAGTTTCAGCAATTAGCCACGACATACACAAACTCTGCAATCCACAGGACAAATAAATTTGTGAAAAATTATGAGGAAGAACAGTCTTGAGTAACTCACGATCTAGACAAAAAAAGTAGAATCTAAAGCGCTCGTTTAGTATCTCACAGGCTGTTTTCATCGCAACCATAGTGACACTTCCTCAAACTTCCCTGTGAGAGGCCAGCAAATGCAGCGACACTTCTTTTCCCTTTTGCCCACAGTTGAACTCAAAATTACCTCATTTTTGCTAACATCATCTAATCAGCTGGCAAAAACTAACAAATATGCTACAGCCCATCTCTCTCAACTTCAAGACTGGCCTGAAGGTGTAGCCAGATCAAGAAGGGAACAGCCAAGAGACCCTACAAACAGGAACAACTCACTTATTCAAGACCAGGTGCTAAACACAAAGTGGGCAGCAATATGGGCGCCCCGATCTCTCCACACAAATGCAGAATTAAAAAGCACGTGTGTGTGCATGTACTCGGGTGTACACACCACCATTTGTGAGGTTTTTTTACACTACTTCTAAACAACCTGGACATAAAATCATCCCAGCCAAGTCTCTCCTCCCACGACCTCTCACTTATGAAATACTCCAAAATACCTTCCTGGCAGAGCGTGCACCCAGGCAGCTGCCTTCCCCCAGTACGCACCAGCCCTCAACGCAGTGGACACCAGCCAAAAACTCTCATCCTACCCCCAGAACTGCAGCCCCATGTAATCTCCAGAAAGATATAGAGTCCCTTTTCGGCATTTATTAATAGAGTAGGTACTGGAGGAGAAAGATGAGCAAGTAATCCCTATTCCTCTACAAAAGCAAAGCTGCTGCTGAGACAGTCAATGTTTATGCTAAGCCTCAAGTTAAAAGGAAAAAAATTAAATCCTGTGCAGACATGAAAATAAAGCTCTAAATTAACATCTCTATTCACTTCCAGAGCATCACCAGGGCCTCCCTGACCGCGTGGCAGAACGGGAACTCTGGCAGTCCAGCTCCACTGCACACATCTTAGCAGGGTAAATTAATTAGGATGTATTTTCTTTGGGTTTCCTACTGTAATGCACACTAAAATGAAGTCTTAGCACAACTAACACTCCTAAGGCAGCATACCTGCAGGATCCAGCAAATACTGCAAGTGGATCTGGATAAAGCAGTTCCAATGCTGCATGCAAACTCTTTTAGCAAATTAACTAACATCAGCCCACCCACCACCATGTATTACCACTCATTAGCCTTCAAACTATAAGAGCACTCAAACAATCTTTTCCTTTCCACCCTTATGCACTCAGGACCTACACGTTGCATAGGCTGCAAGACAACACATACCCCGGAACCAGCCACACACGAGCCCAGCCCCAGCAGATGCCAAGTGATTTGTATTTCAACTTCCTCTGCACTGAATCACTACCCAAAATAGCAATGTCATGCGTAATTTATTATTTCACCACTAATCATCAACTTCATTAAAAGCAACATTGGGATAACAAACAAGTCTTAAGCACTTTCAATTAAGCTTAATTTTTTTCTCAAGGAAAACCCCACACTATTTTCAATTCATTATGGGACGAGTTGGAAAGGGTTTTTACTGTGGGTTTTGCTGTTTATTTTTTTAAAATCACACGGAAGAGTCAGGAACTCCCTAGCTGCTAGACAACTGATTAGGGGAGCAGCACATCCTGTGAGCAGCCCTGATTTTGAGCCGGGAGCCGGGGCACACCTTCTTCTGTCATCTGAGCTGGACACATTCAAACATACCTCCTGAGATGACTCACTAGGGCAACTGCTGATCAAACACCAAGCCCACAACCGAGCCGCTTGAACTTTACCACTGAACCCAGCACCTGGGAGACTACCAGTTGCATCCTGCATTAAACAAAGCAAAATCAACACTGGCATTCAGGTCACAGAAGGTACATTCCATCTTAAGGGTGGAGAGAAAAGGGCTTATGTTGGCAAAAAGGTTGAGAGATCCATTTTAAACAGTGCTCTCCCCACTGAAATTGCTGGTCCCGTGTCGAGCACTGTAGGAGGAAGGCAGGCTGCTGACTGAGACGGGATCCAGGCTGCACATAGTTCCCACTGGACCTCTGGGGCACCCTCCACGCTTGGCTCGTGTCTCATTTGGAAAGTGTGGCCACATTCCTCCCTCCCTAGTATGGGAAGGAAAGAGTTGGTCAACATAGGCACTTCTCCTAACAACTGGAATAAAAGTCCTCGCTTGCAAAGAAACATTCTCTGGCTCCCCTAGCCAGAAGCAACCAGCCACGTAAGACAAAAATCAATCATTACGTCTCCTGTATCAACAAATGTTCTTTTTTAAAAGTAAGACCGTGGATGAAGGTGGATCATTTCTTTGCTCTTTGCAACCTGCCTCCATCTGCTGACACTGGAAAAAATAACCCGCTTTTCTTGAGTGGTACTGGCAAGAGTTGAAGTTTTGCTGAAGCTGTCAGAGCACCTGACACCCAGTTGCCAGGAAAATTAGCAGAAGCCGAGAACCCATGTTCCTGGACAATTCTGAATATCTCAGTGTAGTATCTTACAACATAACTTCACTGAGCTGCCACCAGCATGTCACAACAGGGAGAGTTTGGAGCCCCAAATACCACAAGGCACCTGAAATTTCAAGTTGCATAACCTACTCTAACCAAGAACAGAACATGATTCAGCAACTACCAATGAAACAGTTCTTAATTTTTTATGAAAAGCTGTTAAGCTGCCATATACGACCATCCACAATTTAACAGCTAATGAGATGCAGCCTCCAGGATACGGACTTCAAAAAAATTTATCAGAAGCAAATCATACAGAAAGGAATTGTGAAGAACATATACTCCTGCTCTCCTCTCCTCTTTGGCACTGCAAAGATATTAAATCATCAAACACAGCCCAATAAAACCGACACCCAGACAGGTTTAAAAAAGTAAAATACTGCTGTCTGCCAAGTCTCAGTTACGGGACTCTCCATCAGACCAAATCGTACATCTTGTAATAACAGTGGTTACAGATAGTACCAAACTAGTTGTCAGACAGTTCTGAGGAGCTCAAAGCTCTGAGGCTTGCCCAACAGTGAAGGCAGGTCACAAGCTGACAATATAGTTCATCACTCGAGCCTTCCTCCTCTTGAAAATGTGTCTGACATGAAAATTAAATAGGCATAAGCATCAAGAGAGACAGGACTAACAGTGAATAGGGAGCAAGGGTGTATTTCAACAACTACGCTTACACGGAATAATTAAAGGAAAAATTAAAGTACGCCTTTGCTATAACCCTCCCTTACACACTCATCCTGTACTTCTTCCAACATACACTGTGTATGTTTACAGGCAAATGGATGGACTCAGAGACACCAATGCTGGATGCCCTAGATGGTTTTAAAGCTTTTGCACCGATTCCCAACATTGCACGCACCATCCTAAGAGCCATCAAGGCAGGAGCCTTGATTTCTCAGCAAGCTGCTTCTTGAACATCCAGCATCCAGCTGGAGATGGGAGAAGATCTCCATTTCAGTGGATCAGTGTACTGCGCTCTCCAAATAAACAAGTCTCAACCTAAAGAAACTCCAGGTATCATGCCAAGAAAGTAGTTTCCCAAAACAGCAAGGTCCCTTAGAAAACAAAGACAAGTACAGAGCAAAAGCCAGACTCCATATGCGTGCTGTACCACAATCTGAATAAAGTGTTCTGCAAGTTTTCTCCCTTTTTTCACTGCAGCGCAACGGCTGCAGGTGTAACACACAAGTTTGGTACCTTACGGTCCCTGAACCCAGAACGCTTCTTCTTCTTCCCTTCCGGCTGAGCCTCCTCGTCGCCCGATGCAACAGCCTTTCTACCCTCACTGCCGCTGCTCTCCTCCTCCTCCTCCTCGTGCTTCACCTTCTCGCTTGGCTCTGTCCTTGGATTGTGTTTTACAGAGGACGAGTCTTCTGCATAGGCCCTGTACAAGGGAAAAGAAAACATCGGTTCAGGAAATTATTGAGAGGGGTGCTAAGGCTACGAAGATGGCCCTACAAGGCTCTCCCCGAATGAAACACTCGTTACAGTTCAGCATGGAGGACTGCAAAGCAAAACCAAAGAAGCGATCAGTCTCCTTGGAATACTGTGTGCTTTTCCATGCTGTAATCAGATTTCCACTCCCCCACCCCAAAACCCAAACTAATAATCACAGTAAGTTCTCCCAGCCCAGGAACGCCAGAGCAAATCACTCAGTGAATTATCATACCCTCTCCCAAAAACTACACATGCAAGAAAGATTGGGAAGGGCATACCATAGCCTCCTCTAGGATTAAATTCCACCCCCGCTCCCCCCTAAAAGATTTATATTAAACTGATAGAAATGTGCTTTACCATCAGCGCTGCAGGACTCAGAAAGAATAGCCTCTTTGTTTCAGCTCAACTGATTTATTTTCTATCTCCAGCAGGTAACAGGCTGTTTTATTTCCCTCTTCCACCAATGACTCTTCTAAACTCGAGTGCTAGGGGATTCGTGACAACAAAAACCAGAGTTGTTTATCCTCAAGCTGGAAATACAACGCTGGCAAAGCAAAGGACCCCTGTCCCTTGCTGTTCAAATATAAACATCTTCAGCGACCCCGTTTCTAGGCCAAGACTCAATACTCAAAATCACTCAGTCTAAGCCATGAGCAACTCACAGAACTGCAACAGGCAATAGGGTGGTTAAATAAAAAGCAGGATAAATCCATAAGCCAAACAATGCTATGGCTTTCCTACGCTTTACTTGTAAAACGGTTTATAACCAGACAGAGCTCAGACCACATTAACATCAGTGAAATTATAATCTCTAAGGATACTTTAACATGTCACAAGCAACAAAGCAAATGGTTTGACAAAATTATTTCCCTTTCTAAAGGACTTAAACAGCTGATGCAAACATCCTAGCTTGTCTGTAACTTAAGCAAAGCTGCCTTTGTGTTGCATTCCTGGTGATTTATTTTGGACTAATCACAGGGTACGGGGCTCACACACAGTTAGGTACCACTCATTAGCCAGCAGCCTTCAGGTACAGGCTGGTACTTTGGTACTCCCTGTTTATTGCGAACACAGTCATTTACAGCTGCAGGAGTCATTCAAAAAAGGCTGCCTTGGAAGAAAAACAAAACCAAACCAAGGTTTTTGAACTCTCCCAGGCTCTAAGCAAAAGGCTACACATATTTCATCCTACCAGTTTCCTGGAAAACACAGATGTGGTAATGTAAAATTGAGCAGAGAAGAGTCTGTGCCTGTCTCCCCAGCAATACCAGCTTTACAGCAATCTCAGCGCATCATCTTCCAAAGAGAAGGGAGGGTAGGTGCTCCTTCAATTAATTTAAATGCTACCAAAATAAAAGACAACTCACTGCTTACCAACGTCCAATAGTTCACTAACAGTCACTGTACAGGATAAATTGGGAAAGGCTAAAGAACTCAAATCCTTCCACAGTACTGGCACGAAACAAGAATTTCTATTATTCTAGAATAAACTCCCCAAAAGCACACTTAAGAATAGAGTGAGTCACGATAAAAGCAAATTAACTTTTGTTCTTATTGCGATAACTACTCCATGCAAAATGGAGTCTAACACGCCAGCCTTTCTTTTCTGAAAAGGTCCTGAGCCTTTATCTGCCAATACATCTTCTTAAGTCATACAGCAAACCATCATCTTTAAGACCTCCACTGAACCAAACTTTCTGAGACAGGATCCAAACCAGAGTCCTCCATGAGCATCCTAAGATAGGGAAATTATCTTCCCAGAAGAGCCAGGCAGCTGATCTGTCTCTTGGAGCATGAAGTCCACGCTGGCACCTCTCCTGAAGCCTTTCCTGAAAGTTTAATCAGCACTGCCACATCCTTGTGGAGTTGTGGTTTTGGCTGATAACGCAGTTTGCTAGAATAAGCTGTTGCCAGCTGAGGCTACAACAGCAACGTTGACAAGGAAAGCCCTTGTGTAGGCAGGACACCAGTCTTAAGTAGCTCTGAGAGAGTCTCTTGGGAAAGGGTCCTGGGGACAGAAGAGCAGTAGGAAATGGCCTATCTATAGAACCAAGCCAGTCTGTATGAACCATGCCAGAGAACAGCTGTATCAGTGAAGATTTGCTCCTGTAATGCTTGACTGACAGCTAGCAAACCAGGGAAGGGATAGATGAAATTCAAAAATCAAACATTTTCAGCAAATCCTACACATTCCTTCAATCCATCAGGCTGTCAAGCCAGTCGGCTGCAGCAACACAGACATAGGCTGTTTGAATACAGTCAGCTTTTCTTCCCCCTCTAGTTTATCTAGGCAATTAACTCTGCTCTACCATTAGATCACCTTCCCAGCATACAAGCAAAATGGGCTGTGAGAATAAAAGCAGAACTTGTAGTCTGCTTCTCAAGCAAGGTTTTAAACAGTACCTGCTATTCCTCACCTTCAGGCCACAGTCCAAACTACTCTCTGAATCAACCATTGAATGGTCCGCTCTCTATGTACACCTACTACTCTGTGTTTTTTACATCCTGCACAGCCATCCTCTGTTGAAATTCTTGGCTTCCAACAGCTGCAACTTCCATACTGTGCCCACATAAAGGAGTCTTTCAATGCAGATGTCAGAGTGGAAAACCCCCATAGCTCCAGAAACATCCACCCTGCTGGCCTGCCATCAGCAAATGTAGGCTCTCCACCTCCTTTTTTGATGAGACTGACATTCCAATGGCATGCTGTTGCTGGGTAAAGAACTGGCTGGATGGCCGGGCCTGAAGGGTGGTGGTAAATGGAGTTAAATCCAGTTGGCAGACAGTCAGAAGTGGTGTTCCCCAGGGCTCCATGTTAGGGCCAGTTCTGTTTAACATCTTGATCAATGACCTGGATGATGGGGTTGAGTGCGTCCTCAGCATGTTTGCAGATGACACTATGCTGGGTGGGAGTGTTCATCTGCTGGAGAGGAGGAGGGATCTGCAGAGGGACCTGGCCAGGCTGGATCCATGGGCCCAGGTCAACTGTATGAGGTTCAACGAGGCCAAGGGCCGGGTCCTGCACTTCAGTCACAACAACCCCACGCAGTGCTACAGGCTGAAGAGTGGCTGGAAAGCTGCTTGGCAGAGAGGGACTTGGGGGTACTGGCCAACAGCCGACTGAATATGACCCATCAGTGTGCCCAGGTGGCCAAGAAGGCCAATGGCATCCTGGCTTGTATAAGGAATAGTGTGGCCAGCAGAGCCAAGGAAGTCATCCTTCCCCTGTACTCAGCATTGGTGAGCCTGCACCTTGACTACTGTGTTCAGTTTTGGGCCCCTCACTACAAGAAAGACGTTGCATTGCTGGAACATGTCCAGAGGAGAGCCACAAAGCTGGTGAGGGGTCTGGAGCACAAGTCTGATGAGGAGCGGCTGAGGGAACTGGGGTTGTT